TTTGTCCAAACATAAAATGACGTCTAGTCCAGAGGTCCAAAAAACTACTAACATTTTTGTTAGTAATCGTCTTCAGATTTCCATGTGTCCTCTGTTTGCATAGCAACATCTAATCTCGCCCCTCTATACAATCTTCTCGTGCCTGGCAGCTCGAAATGCATTCTTCAGTTTTAGTTGTTTAGCCAGCTTCCAGATAACCAGATAACGGTAAAAGCAAGGGGAAGAAATATTGAATACAAAAATATTTGCATATTTTAGCTGAGCTAAGAGTTGTGCAGCGCTAAGGGACTACAAGAGCTGCAGAGCTTCCTGATGTAACTCATCGTTACCACCTGGGGGCAATGCTAAAAACTTGTCAGACAACTGGAACAGACTTGTTCCTGCTTGTGCACGCAACGTAAATCAAAGTGCACAAACGCCAAAAACAAAACAATCCACTGGGTTTTATTATGTAAAAAATTATTTTAACTAAGAAAAAGAAACATGAGATATTATATTGCAGTTAAACTGATATTAGCTCGCTATACTGTATGTATACAACAACAAACATACACAATCTTCTAGTAATGAGAATTCGGTTTTATTAAAATTAGCAAATAGGGACTTTTTGTTCTCCAGCTGCACTGCTGTCAAATCCCAGGGGAGTTCAAACCTGGTGCAGAACCAGCTGTTTTTCTGTACCATATGGTAAGAGTCTGTTGGTCACATGAAGTGTGAAAGAGGTAACACAAGAGAAATCTAACAGCTCTGCCATTTCCTGAGTGGATATAAATGAAACTTGTGACTAAAACTTGTTTTTCACACGAGTTTTCCATGCTGAAATAAAAAAGCAATATGTATTTAAAAAGGCCAACCTGCTGTATCTTTCCCATACCAGTTTAACAGATTCAACTTTCATTTATGCAGGTGTTTGTCTTCTGTTTGTTTTTCTGTGCAGTGGTTCAAAATAAGAACTTTTTGGTTGGGTATTTCAACCATCCATTTCTTAATCTCTAAGAGGTTTTGTGTTGTGTAATCTAACTGACATGGAGCAGATTGATCAGCTGTGGCCTTTTTTGTCAGTTTGCTCAAAAGATGGCAGCCTGCAATAACTGTACTGTCTACTCTTTTAGGGGCAAATAATAATCCATGCCATTGTCCAAAATTGACTCACCAGACAAGGAGATTAGTGGAAGAAGAAAATCTAAAATCCACCAACTAAGCATATCTTTTCATTCAAAATAGTGAATTACCTATTTTCTATCACATATTAATTTGCTACAGCTGGAGATTGGCAAATGATATCCATTCCCATCCCTTCTTTTAGACTAAGTAGAGTTTAAGTTAGATGATTAGGAAAAAGGTCAGGGTTAGAGAACAGACCTTCCTAGGATACAAGAGGGGTAATGTGTGAGTAAATCAGGACAGGGTGTCCACCACCTAGCATGTGAGAAGCTAACCAAAACAGTCATAATGAACTATACTAAGAATCTCTACCCTGTTAACGGGCACTCTGGTTATGCCCTCGACTTATTTAGGTCACAGTCTGACACATTTTATTTCCATCTTTTATTCCACCTTTATGGCGTCTCCAGCCAAGACATGATTACTAGCCAGTCAAATCAAGGAATATGATGGGGCTGATCAATTATGGAAAAAATATCTACTTGAAATTATTTTGGCATGTTCTGAGATCAAGATTAATTTACACCATAGCTGGGTGTTTGACACAATCGTGCATTTGTTGAACTGTTAAGGAAAACTGGCATTTTTGATTTGCTTGTCCTTGCCGGGCTTCTCGAAAACAAAGTGTGTGCGAAGGGCTGAACTGGTTTTTACTGCTCTTTGTAATCAAAGCTGATCTAAACCTGCCACATCCTGTAGGGGGATGTGTTTGAGGTTTAACGAAGAGCAAAGGCACATAGCTGGCAAAGAAAGATAAAAAGAAGATGCAAAACAACACATGATTA